GAATACACTTTGATACTCCTTCACGTTGAAAACGACAGAGAGCAAACGGCAAAATGAAAATTGGCGGGAAAAACTTGTTACGTGATCATCTTTGTTGTTTCCTCTTTAGCGTAAAGGTCATGCTTTACCTATCTTATATAAAATGTCTTTCTCGCCTGACAGGGTTACCCGCGATGAGTTAGCAATTTCCTTGTAAACGGTTGGTTGAATTTTTCAGATAATGAGTGAAAAGTTAGAGTAATTTGGCAGGAGGGTTGTCTAGTGGAATGGGGCTAATTAATCATAGAGTTAACCAAATCCACTAACTGACATCATCCCATCCGAGTCCAGCGTCTACCAATATTCTACTCTCTTGGTTATCGAGAGAAGAGTCCACACAGAGACTGTGGTTTACTCCACAATACACAACTTGCCTTTATTGTTTCCTTTTGAATGACTGACAATTAAATTGCCTATCAGTTGGTGCAATATATTTAGATCTGCTAAATAGCCGAATATTATGGTGGTAAAGATCTCAGTAAGGTATGCTGAGCTTTTTAAAGATCCCCCCTAGAACGTGAAAGCATATCATTAAAACGCGAGCACCTGGGTTTGATTCTAAACGCTACTAAGTTTAAAAATCAAAAAAGCTAATGAGAGCGATCTAAATACTTCTTTAAAAAATCATTTTAAAATTGAATAAACGCTATTACGTTAAGCATAATTCAGAATTAACTCCTACATAGAATACACATGAAATGTCTATAACTAATTAGGTCTTATATTCTACCGATTGCAACCGGGCATGACGATAATATTTTGAATTCCAAGCAAAATTGAAAGAAACCCCAAGCTAGATAATAATTTCTTGAAAAGGCTAAGTAATAAAAGCATTCCATTCAGCTACATTTTCCCGTCCTTTTGGGGAGATCCCTGATTTATGCGCAGAAGTTTATCCAGGACGTCTTGTGTACGTGGCAGCGCATTCTTCAAAGCCAAGGACTGGTTCCTACACAGGGTGCGCTTGTCCCGGATGTCCTTCCTTTCCTTCAAGAACTCAACCAAGTTTTCTTTCTCCAGAGCGCGGTCAAGATCATCTACCAGCTGTGAGACGAAAAAATGCAGGATGCAGCGGGGAACTGTGTCACACACATTCATTTTAAGCACGTTGAAACATCGCACCACGTTCCTTTTGACGTTCTTTATTTCCTCCTGCAGCTGTTCCTAAGAAAAAGAACGATAATGCTTCCCTAAGAAAATTTGCCTGTGTACCTGAGTACTCTTGGTGTCAATCGGAAACATTCCTAACAGTTAGAAAAAGTTGGTGTTCATTTCACTCTCTGGTGACGGGACACCTACATCATATCATCACCCGTTACCAAACCTGACTCGCTACCTTGCTGAACGCCATTAAGACAGCAAATGTCTTGGAACATACTCCAATTTACGTGCACTGAACTCACAAGAAATAGCGCCATTTAAAAATAAAGAATTAAAGGAAGCTGTTACCTTCTGTTTGCTCAAGGTGTGGACCAAAGACAAATATCACCCTCTAACGAAACTTCGAACTCAATCCCATCATGCTCAAGGTCACGCGCTTGGTTCAACGCAAGTAACAACATACAAAATACCTTGTTTGTGTATTCAACACAAAAGTCCTGCATAATGTTCAACCGCAATAATCGTTACCCGACATGCTAATGTGTTTTTAAAAAGAATGGACGTAACCCTGGCTTGAGAGGCTTTCCATCATGCAAGTTACCCCTGAAAATTCTTTGTTCTCACCTTATACATATGTATGCTTGGGCTAGAACCTTCAATCTCATTTAGCAGCTTCTCAGGGTATAGATTTTTCGCGAGATACTTCATGTGAGAAGTCGTCTTTGACATCATGCATGGATGAAGCTTGGAGGGATCTTTAAAGGGGACCGCTTCCCAGGTGTTTATCTCAGTAGGTGTGGGGATTGGGGCGAAAACAATATCGGTGCTCTTTTTCTGCATTTCTAAGAACTGTCGGATAAATTCCATGGTCTGTTCGCGTTTCTCGTCAAAACCTCGCGGACAACTTTCGCTTCAACTGCTTTTTTAAGTGTTGGAAACTTCGAAAAGGTTTCTTCGATGGCCTTTTGTACAACATCTCGCAAAGTTGCCTCGACATTGCGGACAAGTTCCTCGGACAGGGGTAGCAACCTATCAACTGGGCTCAGAAGTGTGACTGGTTTACCATTGGCTTGTACTCCTATCGAAAAAACAGAAAAGTGATTGACTGCATCGTTCCATTGAAAAAAAGTGTAAGAACTTTCCTTTATGACACCTATATTAAGGGGGCATTATTTCAGAGCCAAAGGTGTACCCTTAAGGGAGGAGCCAAGGTATAACCTTTCTTCCGCTGAACTTTATTGAAAGTACATCTCTAATAAAGGGACGCTTTTCCTAGATCTGATACTGTGACCTTAATTGAGCGTCCCCTGAGTAATCTATCTACTTGTTATCTTCACTGAAGTAAAAACTACAATCAAGTCCCAATAGTGTACCCAGAGGGAAGGTTTTACTTTAAAACCCAGAACACTTTCGACATTCAATTGACAATTGCTCTATCCGAAAATAACTTGTAAGGGATTCATTTATGTAAAGAAGGTTTTCTATGAGGTTTTTAGCCTCCTACCCTGACATTATCCAAATTAGCTTTACCAGAAACAAATGTTTTGTTCAATAAAATTTAAGAAGCTCTTAGTTCATACCTGTATACTGCTCATAAAGAAGCCTCTGCAGCAGCTGACTGTTTTCGCTGCTGTCTCCAAGAGGGGCAGCTACGCCCTCCAACTTTCTTTGTTCTCTTCGTATTTCATCGTCATTACGCATCTCCAAGGGATTCACCTGTGACAAATTTTATTTAAAAAACAATTGAATGCTGGGATCGTTCTAACTGCTCTGCACTATATGTATGCCAATCGTAAAAGTCCTGCTATGCGATGTAAAAGAAGATGTTTGACCAAGTAGTTCTTTCTTCACCTACAAGTATAATTCACGAAAAAGTATAACTTGGAAAGCTAAAAAAAAAAAAGAATTGAATGCTGGGATTATTCTAAATGCTTCATACTAAAATAATTATTATTATCATTATTTAGAATGACTTTAATTTCCGCTACATATCGTTCTTTACGAAACATTTTCGCCCAACACTTTGTGATAAGTGACTACTCATCTATACCTCGACACTACAGACTATAACCCAAAAACAATCACCTTGAAAACTTCTCGATGGAATGAATTAAACAGCTGCCTGACGCGTTCCCCTCCAGCTGTGTTAGAAGTATTGTTGAAAAGAAGTTTATTCAACTCTCTGATTAGATTTTCTTTCAGTTTCATGGCCACTCCGCCCTTGCCTTCTCTCGACTCTGGTACCTCACACCTCTCTAGTTCTACCAGTGTATCATCCACCTTATTGGATCGAAAAATTGTGATATTAAATTGAGACACGAAACTAGACAATATTGTCATATTCGTGTTGCTTACATAATGCACACGTTAGCATTCATCAAGTGGTTACGGAGCGATTATACCAATCACTAAATACAATGAAGAAAACCCAGTGAAGTTTAGGATTACTTTCGACACCCGATAGCAAATTTTGCCTTGAGACCCTGAGTGCTGGTCCGAGTGAGACTCGAGCGGTCATTCGTTGATTTCCAGTGGTCTCCCAAAAGTGCTAACCTGGCCATGATAAAATAATCTCTTCTTACAAACGATTTCCTTACTTCTTTTTCTCGCCTCTTCATTTGTGTCACCAGATTAGGAATCTCTGTGATCATCTTCTCAGCCAGTAAAGAGATCATGGTGTCCATGAGTCGATCAATTCCACAGACATGTTGAATGTCCTTGTACTGAGGATGCCGCGCGAACCATAGTTTTTCTTGGACACGTGTCGTTTCAGCGTCCCAGTCCTTCTCAGCTGGATCTGTACCATCTTTCCCTCAATGTTATATTGAAAAGAAAGCCGAAGGCTATAGGCTATTATACCTATAACATCCCTACATGTCTTCGAACAAAATTAGACCTGAAGTTTTCCCGCTCTCTTTACGTGTAGAAAGAAATCATGTATTTCTTTCGTTTTAACTCACTTCACGCGGGGATTGGTTACAAAAAAAATATATCGAGCCTCACCCTCGATCAATCAAATGCCAGACTATACCAATCGTGACTCCTTTGTCTCTCGTATTTTCCACTCTTCACGGTATTTATACGTGTTTACCCTTATTCTCATTGCAGGGGTTTTAATAAAAGCCAGTTAAAACTGGCGGTCTTCCCCTCCCCCCCCTTGTTCAGCTTGCGATCGAGCTCTCGTGTCTAGGTTTCATCTTACAGCACAGCCGCCCATCAAACCACCGCCGCTTATGGAAAAATTACTCCAAACCCCTGCATTAGCTCTGATATTCTCTGATATTTCCCTCACTATCACTAAGCGATGTGACTAATTTAGCTATGCTTTTGCGACCCTCAGTAGGAGAACGTTTTAAATAATACCTTACAAGTCCCTAACTACTGGTGTAAGTTAAGCTATCGACTCGTTTCAAAGTTAAACAAACTGACAAACATATTTTACCTCGCAGGACAATAAATCGGTTATCATCCAGTGTGAAGCTGGATTCATTCATGGCCACCTTTTTCCCCATGTCATCGGATTCTCTCAACTTATCTGGTTTGGTAAGCGCACAGATTGTGCGGCTCCTAAAATCTGAGGCCTTTTGCATAACAAGGTTTATTGCACTGTCACCTGTGGGGTCCCCTACTTCGGAAACTATCACGATAATGCTGTTAGTGTTTTTCTCGATGTATTCCAAAACTAGATCTTGAGTCACGATGTTCATGCGTGGATCGTCGTTGGCGAAATGAGCGCCGGGAAGGTCCACCAAGGTAAGAGTCGTGAATTCGGGACCTGGGGAAGAAGAAAGTACGAAGTCAAAATAATTTGAACAGTGCAAGATAAGTTTAAATTTCAGACTGGCAGGAAACAAACAGCAGTGAAAAAAAGTTTCTCTTATTTCATATTCATTCAATACGAACTGCTACCTGCTACAGTAAAAGGATGCTTAAATTACATTGATACGTGAAATCTGAATTCTAGTTAAATTAATCTCACCTTGCAGAGTAACATTAACAGGAGTTTTCGAAATTAGAGTTCCCTCTTCCTTCGCTAAATTTTCTGTGACTTTGTTAAGAAATTCCTCCACGGCATCATCCTTTGGATTTTCCTCAGCCCTCCAAAGACCATTTAGATCGCATCTAACCTCCACGAGGCTCTTCTCGGCGTTTCTTATGTTGAGTATTATGGGACATGTAGTGCGGGCCTGTAAGGTGTTTGCGGTTTCATT